TGAAAAGCTTTCTGATATTTATTGCTTTGCCTTTTATTTTTCCAAGTAATAAAATTTCTATTTATTCAATTTTTCTTTATGAGATTTGATTTCTGAGCTGCTTATCTCTGGAACATAATGTATCTTTCACTGTCTCTTAAAATGTGGTGCCCAGGACAAAAGGTCACCCAGATACGTCCTGACAAGAGTATGAAATTCAGAGGGAACTATTTCTTTCCTTTTTTTCTGTTCATGAAATACTGATGGCTTATTGGACTTTTTTTTCCCACACGATCTGTAATTAGACCAACTTCCTCACTGACAGTTACCCAGAGTTGATCTGCAAATGGACTAGAATAGCAGTTTCTAGTTGTCCATATACAGTCCCATTATTTTATTATGGACCGGGTAACAGACTGAGCAGATCTTTAAAAAATTTTGCTTCTATAACCATACTCTTTTGTTTACTTTGTGGCAAAAGATGATAAAATAAACATTTTGGTCTTTAAAATACTTAATGACTACAGAGTCAAGTCTGAGCCCTGAGTCACATCCCTAAAGATACCCCAAGAGGCCAACATTGAATATATTTATTGGCACACTTTGAATATGGTTATTATAACAGCTGTTAATTTATGTAACTCAGCCAAAATCCACTTCATATTTCTACTTCCCAGGAAAAATAATTACTTAAGAAACTTTGTCAAATATCTGACAAAATAGATAAACAATGTTTACATTATGGTATCCAAATTTCTAATTCAAAAAAATCCTTTTATAAAAATAACTAGATTAATTTCACAGGATGAATTCTTATTCATGGTTAATCTATAATTATAACTTACAATAACCAAAATATTGCCCTTGGGTTCATAATCATTGGGTTAAATATGGCACACAGACTCACAGAAGAGAATCTCCATGGTCACTAAGCAATGAATAACCAATAGGTGGTGTGGCAAATGCTGTTATTTACCAAAAAATATGTTTCCCCTTTTTCTTAACTGTAACTAACCTCATGTTACAACCTCCCTTGCATTTAAATATTGCCATATAACTGAGTTCTAACTGTGAAATGTAAGCAGAAGTGATGTCTGCTACATGGGAGCCAAATCTTTCAGGATGAGAAATGTTCCCCTTACACTTTCGATTCCGGGTGGGGATGATGATTAGTAGGGCTCTGGGAATTGCAGAGCCACATTGGGGATGCACCCTGTGCCTGAATCATCACATTGAGGACAATAATCTGCCAGTGAGAAATACTTACTTTTTAGAGAGGGAGCGATCATCAGTGTGTATGCACACGCCCTCACGCTGGCTCACTGGTAGAGCGGAAGCTTGAGTCATTCAATTTGGGGCTGTTGTTACAGAAATGAAGTTAACCAGTTATACCATTTTAATCCTTTATGTATCTTCCCTACCAAAAGACTTGGCTATCTTTAAAGACTCTATGCATAGAATTCTTAATTCCCCTAAGGTATACATTTAATCAATGAAATGCAAAAGCCTGATTATGAGAAAAAAAATTGTTACTTCAAAATATGTTCACAGAAAGATTTTCTAAACGATTTTCCTTCTTTCACAGATCAACTCTTTACTTGTCTAATAATAAAAATTATTTAATAGGGGCGCCTGGGTGGCTCAGTTGGTTAAGCGACTGCCTTCGGCTCAGGTCATGATCCTGGAGTCCCGGGATCGAGTCCCGCATCGGGCTCCCTGCTCAGCAGGGAGTCTGCTTCTCCCTCTGACCCTCTTCCCTCTCGTGCTCTCTATCTCTCATTCTCTCTCTCTCAAATAAATAAATAAAATCTTTAAAAAAAAATTATTTAATAAATAAAGTTACCCTTCACTTCTTGTGTGGTGTTCCAAGGTCAAGCTGAAAAATGGCTGAATGTTTAGGTGGAAGTAAAGCAGTAGCACCAGGTTCTGAACTCATAGTGCACACTATCCTTGAATTCCATATACATGGATTATGTTCTATATCTCACTCAGTGAACATAGCTAATTTATGCTACTTTCTGAAATAGCACATAGCAGTTTGGAGCCTATGCCAGTCATTTCTGGGCACTGTGGGAAGTGGTCTGTGAGATCCTGTTTGACATCCCCTCCTCTCATAAACATGCAGTTTTTCTGACCATACCACAAACGAGAGAATATCCCTTTCAGACTATCCAAGATTGGAGGAGCTCCTCTATTGGAAATTGACACGGGAACCATCTTCAATTTCAAAATCAACCTAAAACTTCTCAGGACTTTCCACCACGGTGAAGCCTGAACCCCAATTCCAACCTACCCCTCAAGAGGTGAGATGTTAAAGGAAAAGTGGTATTGTAAATTGTCCCTCAATCTTTACTTGCCCCAAACAACCTATAAACCATACTTTGGCTCATAAAAGCAAGCTGCAGATGTTACGGAGTTGTCTTGGTAATTAATTATATTTGAAATTCCTCCTTTAGCCTATTACACTTATTCTTGGTATTCCGTTTGCATGGTTTTCTGATTGCCCCTATATTATGGGCTTTATGCTGGAGCTTCAGTACATCACTCTGGGCTTTGTCATGTTGTAAAACGTGCAATAGCCTTTCCTAGTTTTTCAGACAACAGTGTTCCTCACTTTTTCTCCTGGCTTTTTAATCTTTCAATGACGTGAGAAACCTTGCCTCCTCATGTTACAGGAAAGTCCCTCCCTTATCTCTCAACCCTCCCTCACATAATGCTGTCATTGGTATTAAATTGTCCTGAACACCGTTCACACTAATAGCTAATCTCCTGCATAATCAGGCCCATTGCTTGTTAAAACTCATCTTCTATTGCTTTCTCCAGCATCCAATGAATCCTTTTGCTACAGACATTTTCACTGTAGTTCTCCCCCACAATGTGGATGAATCTTGAAAACATTAAACAAACTGAAAGAAACCAGACTCGAAGTGCCACATTTTGTATGATTCCATTTATATGAAGTATCAAGAATAGGTCAATCCACAGAGTCAGGAAGCAAATTAGTGGTTGTCAGAGGTTGGGGGAATGGGGAATGACTGCTTGATGTGTACAAGATTTCCTTCTGCCATGATGAAAATGTTTTGGAACTAGATAGAGATGATGGTTTCACAAACTATGAATATACTAAATGCCACTGAATTGTACACCATAAAATGGTTAATTTTATGTTATTTGGATTTTACCTCAATAAAAGTTACTAGAAAGGAAAAGAATTAAAATTTTAATATGATGACTTCCTAAAGTCTCTTCCATCCAATGTTTACATTGCTACTTTCCTCACCTCTTTCAAGGCATTACTCAAATGAGGGTTTTCCTAATTAATCTATCAGAAAGTGTAACCTTCCTATTAATAGTGCTCATCCTCCTTCCATTTTATTTTTCTACTTAACATTTGTCCTCATCTAATGTATTATGTTTTTCTTTAATTATACAGTTAATTAGCAATCCTCCTCTACTAAGAAGTAGGCTATATGAGATGAGAGGTTGGTTTTTTTTTTTTCAACGTTTGTAACCCCAATTCTTAAAAAAGTGCCTGGCACAGAAGTGCTTAATGGATATTTATTTAAAAAATAAATGAAAAAGAAAGAAAGAAAATGAATGAATGAACCCTATATGTAATTTTTGTATGTGTTGCTATGGTCTCTTTATTCAGTTGGATCATTTCAATATGTGTCCTAGAGCACATGCATTTTTATTTAACCCATTCAACTATATCTTCGGAGAATTTTAGCCCATCTTCTAGTCTGTGCTGAGGTCAAGGTGAGGTAGTCAAATGAGTTGAGGTTTTAGAATCACTGAGATATAGATTTGAATCTCAGTTCATGGATGCAGCCGTGTGGGTTACAATTACTTTAATAATTTCCTCTAGGGTTCTGTTGCTTCAACTGTAAATGTGTACATTAGTCAGAGTTCTCCAAAGAACAAAACCAGTATATCTCTCAGTACATATGAATTGGCTCCACAGAAACAGCAGAGAGAGAGAGAGAGAGAGAAACAGAGAGACAGAAAGAGACAAAGACAGAAAAAGAAAGATTATTACAGAGAACTGGCTCAAAATTTCAAGGTCTGTAGTCAACAACCTGGAGACCCAGGAGAGCTGATGGTGTATGTCCAGTCTGAAAACTGGCAGGCTCCAGACCCAGAAGGAGCCAATGTTTCAGTTGAGTCTGAAGGCAGGAAAAAAAACAATGTCCAAGTTTGAAGGTAATCAGGCAGAAGGAATTCTCTCTTCCTGGGAGAGGTTCAGCCTTTGGTTCTATTCAGGCTTTTGACTGATTGGATGACACCCACCCACATTAGGAAAAGCAATCTCCTTTATTAAGTCTATTGATTTAAATGTTAAAATTATCCAAAACTACCCTCACAGACATACCCAGTAATATTTGACTGAATACTGAGCACTCTGGCCCAATCATGTTGATAGATAATTAACAAATCACAATATATATATAACAATATCTAACTTAGAGTGTTGATTTGAGGGTTCGATGAATATATTAAGTGCTACAGAATTAAAGCTTAATATTTAAATTACCTTCTTTTTTTTCTTTATGTTGAGATATTCTTAACTTCAGCTAAATGTTACTCTTGCTTTCTATCTCTCTGATCATATCATGACCCAACTGTTTAACAGAGTAAGATTAAGAATAAAGTATAGGTTATTTTATAAATATGAATCTGTCTAGACTGATAGTGGTTATATCACATTTTATTAAAATTTTGATTAATTATCTATTTCTAAACCAACATAAAATAAGTACATTAAAATAATTACATTTGCCTGCTCTCAGTGGTCTGGTAATTTCTACCGTTTTCACCATTACGCAGTGATTATTTGCCATGGTCAAACAATTAATTTGCAGCTACTTTCAGTATAATGGGATGTAATTATTCTTAGCCAAGAGAACCGAATTCATAAGGGAAGCTAGGGTGATCCTATAATCACTATTTCATCTTAGATTTCAATTCATTCTTACAAATCCTTCCTGTATCTTTTTCAATTCAAAAATTATTCTTTTCTAAGCTTTGCGCAGTGGTAGTATCGTAGCCAATGAGGTTTATCCAAGGCACGATTATTGCTCATCGAAAACTTTTCCCAAAAAATCTTCTTTTCTAGAGAAAACTGGAGTAGGAGCTGGTGGATTTTGCAACTGCAATATTATCCATAAACATTAAGCCATCAGCCTCAAGCAGTGATCCAATTTTCTCACATCATTTAGTTCTAAATATATTTAATAAAGCAATCTTTGCAATTATTAGCAATTATTAATGCACATATAATAAAATCAGTTCTATTGAAGCTTAGGACCTACCAATATTATTCTTAAAATTCTGTAATGAGTTCCTCATATGCTTTATGTTCCTCATTTCCATTTTAGGTAAATACTCTCTCACCCTTTAATTTTCTCATAACTCAAGTGCAGCTGTACCAACTTTTAAAATACACCTCCATTTCTTCTTTTACACTAAGGTTATATATAATTGCACAGAGAGATACAGGCTTTTTAGTGCTTTCCAGCCTGCCTGAGATATTGTCCATTTCAGAGATATAAAATAAATAACTTGGGGGCACCTGGGTGGCTCAGTCATTAAGCGTCTGCCTTCGGCTCAGGTCATGATCCCGGGGTCCTGGGATCGAGCCCCGCATCGGGCTCCCTGCTCCGCGGGAAGCCTGCTTCTCCCTCTCCCACTCCCCCTGCCTGTGTTCCCTCTCTCGCTGTGTCTCTCTCTGTCAAATAACTAAATAAAATCTTTAAAAAATAAATAAATAAAATAAAATAAAATAAAATAAAATAAAATAAATAACTTGTATCTGAATTTTTAAAAACCTGTTTTCCTAAACTCTAGGGTCCATGAGTAATTATGACATGTCTTCATTTGCATGGCTATTATAAATGTGAAGATGGCATGATAATGGTTACTCTCTCTCAAGTGGCTGCCATTCCCTCTTTACAAACTACTTCCTTCTTGTTTTTTTTGTCCTTGAGATTGCTTGAGAAACCTTTTCACAAGCAGATACATTCCAGTTTACCCATTATAATTGATGAGTCTCAATATTTTATTTTACCAAGTAAAATAATAGGCTGCACTACTTTATCGTAATCATCAGAAAATATATAGCTGTTATTAAGAAAGTTAAAATTTAAAATAAGCCAATGACCTCCAAACCTACTTAGAAGATCTTTGTGCTAATATTCAGAATATTATAGATACACAATATATAGAACACTATTGTAGTCATATTTGCCATGCTGAGAAAAATAAAACTTTTAGCCATATGAGAAATAAGCTTGACTATTTAGTTTCAGGAAAATAAAGCCCGTCAAACAATTTATGGATAGATAGAGTCTCTTTATAACCATAGTGGCTTGCCTGGGAGTCAGTCTTGTAATCTGTGTTATGAAATAATTAGTCATATCCTCTTGAAGGCACAGTTGTTTAAAGTCTATGTCCACAATAAAATCACTTGCTTTCATCGCTTCACTGAATCTTCTCTAAACAGTAAATCAACTATGAGAATTATGAAACTTCCATATTCTATACTATATTTGACTCTTGGGTTCTAGATGTAATTTTAATTGAATATCTCCTTGATAATACTCTGCTGCTCCACTCACACTTTCTTTGGTATCTCTTTTATTGTTGTTACTTTTTTTCTGTTTTTGTTTTTGCTTTTTAAACAAAGATCTTGAACCGTATCTTTGCTCTTTATGTATTAAATGTACATGCATAGGAGCATGTTCAAATTACTTTTACAAAAGAAATATGAGATCAAATTTTCTATAGTTCTGGTTTACATATTACTAAAGAAAAGCATTGCCAAGAGAAGCATTCCTTCTGAAAAAAAAATAATCGTCACCCTGACCTCTGTAATGTCTCTGCAATTTGTATTATTAAGATAATGGTTTCAGAGGCACCTGGGTGGCTCTGTCAGTTAAGCGCCTGCCTTCGGCTCAGGTCATGGTCCCAGGGTCCTGGGATCGAGCCCCGCATCGGGCTCCCTGCTCCGCGGGAAGCCTGCTTCTCCCTCTCCCAGGCCCCCTGCTTGTGTTCCCTCTCTCGCTGTGTCTCTCTCTGTCAAATAAATAAATAAAATATTAAAAAAAAAGCTAATGGTTTCATCATCCTGCTCATGAAATTGAATCAACACTTTCCTACCTCTTGAAGCTTTCTACATTATTTGCAGCTGTTGACCATTTTTTTCTGTTTTGAAACGCTTTTCTCCTAATTTCTCTAAGATTATAATGTTTGATTTTCCTCCTGCATTTACTTCATTCCTTCGCATGATTTTCTTCCTTCAGTCATCTCTTACATTTTCTATTCCCAAGTCTTTCTATGCCCAAGTCTGGGCATTCGTTTCTGTTATATGTATTTTCCTGAGTCACCTCATATAACAATATGGCTTTTAGTACGATGTAAACGCTGACAAATCTCAGATTATGATTGACAACTAAATCATCTCTGTTGAGTGCCATAGCAAAAGTCCAAACACATAGACATCCCAAAGCAAGATATTTATGACATATTCTTGTCCTCCTATTTTCCTTATCTCGGTGAATGAAATCAGTCAGCCCAGACCACTCCCAGTCCCTCTGATCTCACTCAACCTATATTTCAGTAAGCCCCAGAGTTAAAAGAGTCTATATTCTTAGTTTCTTTTATATCCGTTCTCTTCTCTCAGTTTCACCTGTCATTACCCTCATTTAGGATTTACCAATTTACCTGAACAACTGGAATAACTTCCTGATAAATTTCATACCCATTTTCATGCTTCTCTCCACACCAGAGCCAGGGTGATCTTCCTATAACATTCATTGGTAAAACCATTTCTCTGTTTACATTTCTTCAGTGGATTCCTATAGGCTCAAAAGCCTTAACATGGAGCCAAAGGTGTTTCATTTTCTAGTAGGTACTGACTGCTATAGTTTTGTCTCCTGTCAGTTTCTCAGGTGTTCCCTCTTCTTCTTCTCTGTAAAACTCATATATTTCCCTGGCAAGGACTACTACTGGGGAAACATGTCATTCTGCACTGTTCTTTCCTTTCTTTACCTACTATCCCATGACATACACACATATTTCTTGGCTAGCCAGACAAGTTTCCTAATGTGTGGGTGTGTGAGGTATGCATGACTGTGTGTGTCCATGTTATCCATTTAAGTCATATTTCTCTTATTCCATATTTTTGTACATAACTCTTCGTGCATACCTCTTTCATCTGTGGCACTCACCTGTATATCCATGATTATTTCTACTATATTTTAAATACTCTGAGAGCAGACTGTCCCACTTTTTTTTTTCCTCCAGCGGGGTCAAACAAAGTATAGTACAAGAGGCCATAGACATGTATTGTTTGAAAAAATGAGTAAAACTGGAGAGAATAAAAAATCAGTAACTCAAAATTTATCATGATATGTGATAGCTAAATATTTCCTAAATGTAAGTAAATAAGATATTGTTTTATTCTCTTGTCACAGAAATATACGACCAAAAATGTTGCTGGTGATTGACTTCTGAGTCTTCCTAACCATTGATACATGGGACATCTGTTCACAGTAATATTCACAGACAATTAAATAATTTATTTCTCTGAATTTATACTTGAAATCCTTGGCATATGTGACCTCTCTACTCTTTCCCTTTCAGATTGTACTCTGTCCTTCCTATGTCATCCTGTAATACCAACGGACAGACTCTTTCCTTTGTCCATTGTCCTTCAGAGTTCAGTTGTTCAGTCTTCCCTCTTCTGAGTCTCCTCAATCACTTGACACTAATCCGCACTTTGATACTGTGACCTAAAAAATGCTAATCTATCCCCATTGTTGTTGCAGATTATATTTAGAGCCCACAATTTGAATAGTATTTTATCAGAAAGTTTCCTCACAAAATTCTTGTCTGGGGACAAGCTAAGAATTTTTTCAGATTTACATTAGACTTCCAGACTACAACCTTTATTGTTATTGTTGTCCTTCACTGTAAAATCATACTACACAGCAATGTTTTTGCCATCACCTGTTGTGGCAAAGAATGCTGGTGTTTACCAATATTCATATTTCTCCTCTTCTTCCTGTGCACACAAAGTATGATTCCCAGCTCTCACGCAATTACATGGTGCCTTCTGAGTTCCAGGACAAGGAAGTGAACCTGAGTGTACCACTTCCAGGGCTGGCCTCTGAAACACCTCACTCCAACCTCCTCACTCTCCCATCTCTCATCTCCCAGCAAATCCTTCCAGGGCGCAAGGATCTGGAAGAATCCTGGGCACCTTGATCACCCTACCACATAGTCATTTGCACTATGCTGTGTATCAAAAAGAGAGATTTCTGGTTTTAAGGAAAGAGATTTGAGGATAAGAATAACTATTGTTATTTTTCTTAATCAGTACAGCTAAATATCAGGCTATAGCCTTTCATTCCAAAGAGAATGTGATGAGCTACTCATTTTGGTTTTCTCCATTTCCACAACTTTCATTATCCTGAGTAACAAATTTCTTAATATTTTTTTACAACAATGATATCCCATGATTTTTCTTCAGCAAACTCCTCCTGAGGACAAAGGCAGGATTTATAAACCCATAAAATGAACTGCATCCTAAATCCCTCTCTCTAATAACAAATGCTTATCATCACTAAATATGTCCATTCATTCACTTAGGTCTTAAATCTCTCTTCATATGTATAGATTTCATATCGTGCTTCTTGGCTTTACATTCCTAATGAGCTTCATCATCATGTTGGGCCACTTCCTATCACCCTCATCTTCAATCTCCCTGTGATCCTGCCTTTCTCCTACTTCCATCCGAACACACTCTCAACCTGGATCGCCCTAATCACATCCTCCATCTTCTGAGCTGCTGAGATTTCCTGGAGAAAATCACATAACTCTGCCAGGTGGGGCAGATTTATAGTTTCCAATTTCACTTGTGTCCTCAAAACCTTTTACTCAAATCCTTTTACTCAAATGACTCTTGAGTTTGATAGCCCTGACCTGGGTAATGGTGTGAGCACAGCTCTCCCTTCCACAGCATCTTGTTCTTGCTTCGGGGTGCTTGGAGGAGCCTTTGGCACACACTCATCCATGAATTTGAACTGTAGTCCCCATGCTGTATTACCCTGTGCTCCCACCACTCCCTCAGCTCCCACTTGCCCCCCACTGCTTC